ACGAACGGGCAACACCAGCCCATCGACGGGATGCAGGCCACGTCCTCCTGCCATCTCTCTCTCTCTCTCTCTCTCTCTCTCTCTCTCTCTCTCTCTCTCTCTCTCTCTCCCATGCCGCAACTCTCTCTCTCTCTCTCTCTCTCTCTCTCTCTCTCTCTCTCTCTCTCTCTCTCTCTCTCTCTCTNCTCTCTCTCTCTCTCTCTCTCTCTCTCTCTCTCTCTCTCTCTCTCTCTCTCTCTCTCTCTCTCTCTCTCTCTCTCTCTCTGCGGCATGGGAGAGAGAGAGAGAGAGAGAGAGAGAGAGTACGTGTGTCTTTGCTTGTGCGTGTGTGCGCGTTGTTATGTTCTCTATACACAAGTCCGGCCGTGTCAGACTGTTTCGGCGAACTTTCACCGACTTATCACGAGGCTCTGCGTGTGTGGGCGTGAGTGATTAGTATATTATAATATGTACAGATGGGTAAGTATTTCTGAGACGTGTATATTTGCACTTTGAAGCCAAGTATTCTTGTTGTACCTCGATTGCCGAAGAGTGTACAGTAACTGCAAAGTGAAATCTTTTCGTGCAGGCATCATCTCATCATCGCAACCTCGATGCGTACTTCTGTTTTTTTTGTCCACTTCCTTTGTATCGAGTGAATAGATAGGGTGATGATGATGCGGATTATAAACGAGCCTGTCTCTCAGTTGGTACATTCGGGTGATGATGAGGCGCAGTACAAACGAGCCTATCTCTGTTGGTACACCTATAGCAGAATCAAATCCGTTTTGAAGCAAAGAAAAAAGGATGACGCCGATTTCTGTGGGATTTTGTGAAGGCACGGCTCTGATCGTACCCGATAGGATCCGAAAGTATGAAAAAGACAGGAGCAACAACAGGCAGAGACGTGGTGCGTGACACGTGTCTCTTTGGTTCTTGGTATCTATTGATGGATCTGACCCCATCGTGGAAAATGGAAAATATGCCAAGAAGAGACGTGGTGCGTGACACGTGTCTCTTTGGTTAAAGGACAACAAACATGTGGCATGTGCCGCAGCAGATCTTGCCATTTTTTGAAGGCTCTGATCAAGACACGTGGCATTTGAACGTGTCTTTGTCTTCAGATCTTGCCATCTATCTGATCCGAGAGAATGGAAGAGCCAGAATGAGTGACAGCAGAAACGTGGCACACGATATGTTTGCTTGAGGTGCATGGCATGTGACACGTGCCATGTGACACGTGTCTCCTTACATAGTGTGATTTTTATTTTTATTTTCAATTCTAGCCTTTTTCAAAAAAAAAAAAAAAAAAGTTGT